AGGACTTAATTGACCTTTTTATGAAAGTTTGAAGACCTATTTGACAGTTTTCCCATATATTTAAGTTTCGTTTGAAGAGTTGTATGAAATGTTAAATCAGTATAAAAACTTATCAAACTCAAAGATAGGTTCACTATTAGTAAAAGATTTGAATTATAAATTGTGTTGATATGTTTTAATTTATTTATTTATCATTAATTTCATTGCATGACTAATCCCATAAAATTTGGCTACGTTTTTACTACATTCGTTCTTAAATAAATGCAAAATGTTGAATTTTACACTTTCACATGTTCCACTTTGACTATGTTTTATTTATTAATGTATAATATATATATATATATATATATATATATATTTGAAAAAAATATTGTTACATTTATCTTATTGTAAATTTTCAAAATCTAATTTTTATTACTAATAGAGATTTATATATATTAACGGTAAAAGTTATGTCTTGACAAATGTGAATGTTGACCGTTGCATTTAGTTAAGAGCGCAGGAAGTACCAAAGGAAATTGAAACCTCGAAGTTGACTGTGAAATCTTTCAAATCTTTTATTAATAGTGAACATATTTTTGTCTTTGATAATTTTTATACTAAACTAACATTCTAAGAGCCCGTTTGGTAATACTTGAATCGGCTGATGCTGCTGAAATTTATGAAGTTCTGGTTGAAACGATGGATTGATTGATTCTGCTGATTTATGAAAAAAATACTTAAAATATGTATTATCAATAAACTAAAGAAAAAAGGGAAAAGGTGCAAATAGGTCCATGTACTAATAAAAAAAGGTCAAATAAGCCCTTATTTAGGAGGCTCTGTCCGGACGTCGTCATTTGGGGTGGTTACCGGTGGAATTTTTTGATGAATTTTTTTGAGCATCTTATTCATCAAGTCTAGTTTACTCATACCAAATTTCAGCTAAAACTTCAATCGTTGTTAAGTTTTTTTTTTTAACAATAGGAGTATATTTAAAAGAATTATAACTGACCTCCTAACTCGTTGCTGACTAGTTAGCATGTTAGATGAATTCTAATTTCCGTAATGAATTTCGAATGGTTAACACTTATATTTCGAATAGTTATATCTGAAAAAGAACTTTAACTTTTTTAAGTTTGAGGTTATGCAGAAAAAGTTTAATGTAAACCGTTGTTGATGTTAAAAAAAGTTTAATAAACCGAAATGTTATGTTTACTATGGGGTACGATTAAAATTATTACATTTCATCAATTTTGCGTTAGATGTTTTTATAAATTACAATGGTACAAAAGTGTTCTAGAAACGTCTATGTGTCATGGATGATTTCATATATAAAACCAAAAATATATGCAATTCATGGAATCACATAGTTTTATCAATTCAAGATCCAAAAGATAGACGAATTATCCATATGAAATCTGAAAGGTCAAGTGCATCGATATAGGATCTGAATAATAAAAAACTATCAATTTAGGACCTAAGTTGTCATATTTTTTTTATTTTTTTTTAAATTTTGAAATATTATTTAGTTTTATTAAACTAATAAACATCTGTGAAGAAAAGTTTATCAAAAACTTGTAATGGAATTAAAAAAACCTATGAAATGTTAGGTCCTAAATTGACAGTTTTCCATTGATGGAGTATTAATTCTAGAGAGAAGTGAGAGCTAGAGAGAGAAAGTGAGTAATTGTATTTCTCAACTTGGAACCCCCTATAATTAGCCCCTTGGGGTCTATTTATAGGTAAAAATGTGGATTTGGGCCCCTAGCCTTGGGCTTAGGAGGCCCATTGCAATAATCATGCCTTCTTCGGGCGAAATTGGGCCACTAATGGGCTGTGTACAATACTTAATAAATAAAGTAGAGAGATGCATTCTGCCCGTACGAAGCCGGGCCGATGCGGTGCCTTTTGGCCGATGCGGTCCCATGGCCGATGCGGTCCATGGGCCGATGCGGTCCCGGGAGTCCATGCGTGCTTCCTGGGCCGGTTTGGTTTCTGGCCGATGCGGACCTACTGGCCGAAGGGGGCCACGTGGGTGTTCTTCTGGCCATCGTTGACTTGAGTATGTGGGCCATGGGGTCCACGCCCATATACTCTATCAGGAGTCCCCCACTCTCTGAGCTGAGGCGAAGCCGAAGCGAAAGGGAGTATTTGTTCCTTCCTGGCTGGCCGTTGCGAGAGCTTGAGGCGCTTGGTGGCCGAAGAGTTTCTGCCTTGATTTTGGATGAAGTGGCTCCATTTTGATGTAGACGTAGCGCGCTTGAGGATTCACGGCCTTGGTGCGGCCGATGCGCTCTCTGTGAAGTGTTTTGAGGATGATGCGGCGCGCTTTCCCTTTCCAATAGATGTGAATTATAGAGAAGCTGGCCTGTTTCATCATTATTTGTTGGGGCCGAAGAGGTCTCACATGCTTTAGTGAGCCGACGCAGTCCCACCAATGTACATAGTCGTTGCGCGCTGTTTTTTGTATTAGTGTTTTAAATTTTTGGGGTCTGTAGCCGATGCGCCCTTTTATATTAAGACCGTTGCGCTCTCTCTTCTTGTGGCCGACACAGTCCCTCCAGCGCATGTGGCCGTTGCATGCTGGACTTTGTTTTTGGGTTTTTATTTTCTTGGGCTCTTTAGCCGATGCGATCTGCAATGCTATTGAGGTGAATGTTTTCTGTATCGAATCCTCCGTGTGTTGAGGCCGTCGCGTTCCCATTTATGCTGTTCTCCTTTTTCTGTAGCCGATACAGTCCCCCAGTCCCCCACTCCTTTGGCCGAAGAGTACTTGAGGCACAAGGGAGTCATGGTGTACCCAAGCCGATACGATACCTTTGCGCTAGTCGTGAGTCCAACCCTTAGGCGAACCTGTCCAAGGTAACCCTGTGGGAGAACCCTTGGACGAAGGCCGCAATACCAGGGTCATCATCGAACGATGTGCGCGTGAGTGGACGTAGCGGTACTTGTGGTTCTTGGGGTTGCTTTGGGGCCGTAGCGCGTTTCGCTGATGCGTCCATGCCTTTGGTAAAATTGGGCCGTAGCGGGTTTCTCCTTGTTTTGAGTGAGTAGGCCGGTGCCTACCCTAGTCTCGGGGCCTGTTGGGCCGCAGCGGTTGCCCTAGAGTGGAATGTGAAAAGACGGGCGTTGATTGGTTCTAGAAGAGGTGCCGCTGGGGTGGCCAATTGGGGGTTGCCACGTGTGGTGACCGTTGGGGGGGTGCCTATAAATACCCCCAACTCCGAAGCCATTCCCTCATTTGCCTTTTGCTGTTTGTCGAATTGCTGCCCAATTTTCTAGAGAGAGAAAGCTCCCGAGGTTTCTTCAAGTGTTCATCAACCTTCCTTCGGATCTTCAAATCTTTAAGGTCAGATTCTTGCCTGTTTCTTCTTTATTTTCTTATACTTTGCTTCCTAGGGGGTTAGATCTAGTGTTTGTAGGGAAACCACTTTGATCCGAAAAACCACCCTTAGGAATAGGTGTAGGTGTTATGCCGTTCTCTAACGGCCGTAGCGTTCCCTCCCCCATTGATTTGACAGCTTCTTTGGACGAGTCGGATTGGCCTTTTGACGAGGACGATACGTCCCCTGGAGTTGATCTTCGACTGATTGAAGCCTTCGAGATTGAGATGGAGAATACCGCCGACTACCGCACCTCTGTAGATGAGGAGAGAATGAGTGCCGACGCGGGAGCACGTAGTTCTGGTGAGGACGAAGCGACATCTTGCTCGCCTCTGAGGGGGGATGAGGCATCCTCTTCTGCCCACATCCCTTGTCCTCCGCCGGTATCGTCAGTAGCGGGGGAAGGCCCCTCGGCTCCTAAGACGAAAAAACCGTATCGGCGGAAGCAGCGTAAGGGAGTACCGCAGGGGTTTTCCCAGTTAGATCTCAGCAACTTGTATATTATTCGGCCGGAAGGGACCCTCGGTGAGTATCATGTCGCCCAGTTGTATGTGGGTCCCTACGGCCGTGTCAGAGCCCCCTTGCCGTCGGATCATGTTCTGAACCCGCCTTTGGGCTATTTTGGTGTCTACCCGATGAGCTTTGCTAAGGGTCTGAGATTCCCTCTTCATCCCTTCATCAAGGAGTATCTTGAGATGGTGGAGCTCCCTCCGGCCTTGTTGACTCCCAACAGCTTTTCGCTCATCATCGGCTTTCTGATCCGGTGTAAAGAGTTGGGGATTCCGCCGACGACTGCCCTGTTTATGAACCTGTTCCGGATAGGCCGAGGGAGTCATCAAAATTGTGCCGGCTATGCAACTCTGCAGCAGATTAGTGGGAGGAGGTCGTTTACGGATCTCCCTACGTCCATTCATGGCTGGAAGGCTAAGTTCGTGTTCGTCACCTTGGGTCGGGGTGGGTTCTTTCCTTCCAATGGTCACAGCGGCCTCTTTGAGTTGCATACCCCCCCTTGGAGTGCCGAAATAAGCAATCAGGTAGAAGCCTTTATTAAGGGGGGGCCGAGGAGCATTAAGACGTATGTTACTGAATACCGGATGGCTGCCCTCGGCTTCGTGCGATACTATTGCCCAGGTGACGTCGATGATGATCTTTGGCCGAAGATGGTGGGGTCTTATGAGCAGGCCGACGGTCCTCATCTTGGTGTGCCTGCCGAGGCCGAAGGTTGACTTCTTTTCTTTATCCTTGTGTGATGTTTTGTTTTCCTTTGCTAACCCTTGTATCTTTGTGCAGGTTTCAATATGGATCGGATGTCTTTCATGGCTCGGGCTGCCAGGAAGGCCGACGCGGAGTTGAAAGCTGCTCAAGCTGCCGAGGCAGCAAAGAAGTCTGCGGGCGGTTCCCAGGGGGGTGCTGAGGCCGTCAAGAGACCTGCTTCTAAGAAGAGTAAGAGGGCTGCTGATGAGGGTCAAAAGACTTTGGCCGAAGCGGGTCTAAAGCTGAGCCAGGCTTCGAAGAAGACGAAGAGGGCTCCTACTACTGACGAGGCCGGCGTCCCTTCTTCACAGGCCGTTGCGGATGTTCCGCCGCCGGCGCTCCCTCCTGTGAATGATCTCCCTTCCTCGGCTATGGTGGCCTCGGCTTCTCGTGTGCCTCCCTCTACGGCCGCTGCTGCCCGTCTGGAGGAGGCTCTGGCTAAGGGGTCGTACGAAGTCACCGTACGATACCCCGTGAAAGGTGGTCTCTTTAATGAGACCGTTGGTGGAGACGACATGCTCGCTCAGGCTATGCCTGAGTATGATCGTCAGTATCTCGGCCGGCAAGGCCAACATGTTCGGCTATACGACGGAGGGATGGACTACGTCGTCCAGGTAAGATATTTTCCCTTATAATTTTTCCTTTGCTTTTATTTTTTATCTCTAACTCTATTCTGCTTCGTCCAGGGCGCCCTTATGTTGAGGGAGCAGCATTGGAGGCAGGAGGCCGAGATAGAGCGGCTCAAGAAAGTGGAGGCTAGGGCTGCTTCAGCCGATGAGGCCCTCCAGGATCTCAAGGACAAGGCCAAGGCTGCCGAGGATGAGATGAGGCTTCTCCAGATCCGGCTTGATGAGGCCGAAGCAGCCCGGAAGAAGGCCGATGAGTCGATTGCTGCTGCCATCCAGAGAGCCGAGGAGGCTGAACGGCTCAAGGCTGACGCCGAGAAGGCCGCCGAGAAGGCCGTGGTTGATTTCAAGGCCGAGGGGTGGAAAGCCGATGACCAGCTCCCCTTCTGCTATGAGGTGGTTGCTGAGAGGTTGAATGATTGGACGACGAAGGACCCCGCCGGCCAAGAATTCTGGATGAACGAGATGCAAGCTTTCTACGACTGCGGTCAGTACAGAATGCAGAAGCTGATTTACAGGAAGCTTCGTCGTCGCTTCCGGAAGATGAGGCCGAGGGGTCTGAGTCTCCCTCGGCGAATGAAGAATCCCGATGAGGATTTGAAGCTTCCCCTATCGGAGAGGCAGCCTCCGATCTTGAGTTCGTCCGAAGGGGAAGAGCCGTGGAGTGACAGTGACGACTACTTGCTCGAGGGGCCTGCCGATTCCCAGGCTGATGAGGATGCTGGTGGTGATGATGCTGGTGGCGGCAGCGGAGAGGACGTCGGTCAGAGCAAAGAGCAAGCCGATGAGGCAGCGTAGCTTGTACTTAACTTTTTTTTATTACTTTTATAGCTTTAGCACCAAAGTGCATGTAATGGCCGAAGCGCCCACCCGTTGTATTTTTGCATCCATTAATGACAACTCCTTTCCTCATCATGATTCCCTCGTCGTCTTTGTAGTTAAGTATGTTTGTTCTTTGTAAAATTTTTCCAAGTGTCAAGGCTGTGTCTCGAGGTCGTTGGCGTCCCTTGATTGAGACGTAGCGATTTTCTCGCCTTTACTGTCCTTGGGGACGATGCGTCTCCTCGTCCCTTAGTGAATTTTTATTTCTTCCTTGGCGGATCTTGTCCACGCCTCAAGTTTTGGGGCTTAGTCTTGAAGTGTTGAGGACGAAGCGGTACCCCGATATAGAATGGTAACGCATCGTCTCTCTTGTAGTGTGACTTAGAAAATGTTCTAAGTGTCAAGCTTGCCTTGATGGAGCTGTTTTACCTTGGTTCGTTCACTTGGGTTTTGCTACGCGGAGACGATGCGCCCCTTCGTCCAAATAATGGACCGTGGTCTTGTATAACCGAAGCCGAAGCGATTTCCTTTTGTGAAGCTATGGTTGGGGTCGAAGCATGCACTTCGGATCTTTGTATAGTGAAAACCTGATATGTACTTAGCCGATTTTAAGGCTTGGTTTTTGTGGGGATTTTATTTCTTGCTCGAGGCCGGCGACTGCGCGGTCCGTCGGCTTCCCTCTTTTTTTTTTTTTTTTTTTTTTTTTTTTTTTTTTTTTTTGTAGCCGAAGGGTTAATGTCCCTTCGTCCATGTGCGGTATTTTGTCCGCTACGCTTTTCGCGTGGATTAGTGCGAGGGAGTAAATACGCCCTCGGCTTGGTGTCAGTGGCATCTTTTTTGCCTTTCCACGTCTATCGTCGACGAGGGACCGGACTAGGCATCGTCTTATGACGGCCGCCCTTTGTGGTCCTGAGCGAAATTTTACTGACGGGTGGAGTTTTTGTAACCTCAGCCTTAATTCAGGCTTGTCGTCCTGCGGTTTCCGCGCGGACGACGCGGTATGCTTCTCCGTTTTGAAGACGTTGGACCATGCACACAGGTCCTTCGTCCTGCATATCGCCGGCCGATTTGGGTATTTCACCGCTTGTGCCGATACGATATTTATGTGCGTTGTTTATTGCAACGGCTTAGTAGGCGCGTTGTGGATCGCAACGGCCTTAGGTGCGTTGTGTATTGCAACGGCTTTGGGTGCGTCGTTTATTGCGACGGCTTTAGGTGCGTTGTTTATTGCAACGGCTTTGGGTGCGTCGTTTATTGCGACGGCTTTAGGTGCGTTGTTTATTGCAACGGCTTTGGGTGCGTCGTTTATTGCGACGGCTTTAGGTCGCATCGGACCCGGGTGATTGCACCACTTAGGCCGATGCGGTCCTTAGGTTTCCCTTCAAATCTTAAAAGATTGGATGAAACATGAATTTTATTCAATAATTGGCGCTAGGCCGGGGGTGTTTTATTCAACCACTAAGCCGAGTGGTGGGGGACGTTGCCCGCTTCACCGCTTCTCGAGTCATTGGTAAAATTTCACCAGGTGGTGTACATTCCACGATCGTGGTACATCTGACCCATTAGGGTTCTTTAGTCTATAAGTGCCGGCTTTGATGACGGCGCTGATGATGTAGGGCCCTTCATATTTGACGGCGAGCTTTCCTCCTTTCGTCGGCTTGCTTGCTTCCCTTCGGCGGAGGACGTAGTCCCCCACTTGGAATTCGCGGGAGCGTACCTTGGCGTCATAGTAGGATTTGACTTGGCGTCTGTAGTTTTCTGCCCGAAGGTAAGCTATCTCCCGTCTTTCTTCAATGAGGTGCAAGTCAATCTTCATGGCTTCTTCATTGGCTTCGGGGTCGTATTGTGTGACCCGTCGGCTGGGAAGCGTCACCTCAGTGGGAGCCTTGGCTTCGAAGCCGTAGCACAAGGAGAAGGGTGTCTCCCCGGTGGCCCTCCTCGGCGTTGTGCGGTAGGACCATAGGACGTTGGGGAGCTCGTCGACCCAACTTCCGCCTTCTTCCTCGAGTTTCTTCTTTAGCCCCTCCAAGATGGTTCTGTTGGCGTTCTCAACTTGCCCGTTGGCCTGGGGGTAGGCGACGGAGGAGAAACGGTGCTTGATACCCCATTCTTGGAGGAGGCTTTGGAACGGTTCGGCCTCAAACTGGGTGCCGTTGTCTGATATGATCTCCTGAGGCACGCCGAAGCGGGTGAGGATGTTCTTGTAGACGAACTTTCGACACCGTGCCCCGGTGATGCTTGCAAGTGCTTCGGCCTCGACCCATTTGGTGAAGTAATCGATGGCGACGATGATGTATCTGTTGTTCCCCGCGGCTCTTGGTAGCGGGCCGACGAGGTCGATGCCCCATCTGGAAAATGGGATGGCAGTGCTGACCGGGGCGTAGTTGACGGCGGGTCGGCCAGGTGCTCTTTGATAGTGTTGGCATGCGCTGCATCTGCGGGCGACTTCAGCGCAATCGCGTGCCATCGTCGGCCAGAAGTAGCCTTGGACGACGAGGCGACGCGACATGCTGAAGGGTCCCTGGTGCGATGAGCATACACCGCAGTGGACTTCCTCCATGGCCACTTCGGCCTCATTCTGGTGGAGGCACCGGAGGAGGGTGCCATTGTATGATCTTTTGTAGAGCTTGTCACCCTCAATGACATAGCTTGGCGCCCTAAGTTTGGCGAGTTTGGCCCTCTCCTCGTCTTCAGGTAGTGTGCCGGAAGCGATGTAGGTTGCGATGTCAGTGATCCAGTCCTCCGGTTGGTGTTGTATGGAGAGTATGGGGCTAGCGTGAATGCTTGACATGCTCAACTCCTCCACCTTAGCTATCTTGGAGATGTGCTCCGGGGTGTCGGAGCTGAGTTTGGAGAGGATGTCGGCCTCGGCGTTCTCCGCCCTTGGGATCTGAGTGATCTCGTAGGTATCGAACGCCTTGAGCAATTCCGCAGCGGCCTCCTTGTATTGCTTCATCCTCCCTTCTTTGGCCTCGTAGGAACCCTCCATCTGGCTCACTACGAGTTTGGAGTCGCATTTGATTCTGACGTGGCGTGCTTTGAGGCCGGCGGCCAGTCTGAGTCCGCTGAGGAGCGCTTCATACTCGGCCTCATTGTTGGATACTTTGAAGTTGAAGCGAATGGCGTAGTACGCCCTGAAACCTTCCGGGGAGATGAGGACGACGCCACCCCCACAAGCTTTGGTGGCCGAGGACCCGTCCGTGTAGAGGGTCCAGGCGTCGTCCGATTCAGCTCCTGTGGTGGTAACGGCCGTCTCCCTTGCCGTGCACTCTGTGACGAAATCAGCTAAGGCTTGCCCTTTGATGGATGGCCTCGGCTTGATCTCAATCTGGTACTGGCTCAGGAATATCGCCCATTTGATCATTCTTGGAGAGCTGGTTGGGCTCCTCATGAGGGCTCCCAACGGCTGATGCGTGAGGACGTGGACGGGGTGAGCCTGGAAGTAGTGCCCAAGTTTTTTCACCGTGTGGACGATGGCCAGCACTGTCTTCTCAATGGGGGAGTACCTAAGCTCAGCCTCTCGTAACGTCTTGCTGACGTAGAATATAGCTTTTTGTACCCCGTCATCCTCCCTGATGAGTACGGAGCTGACGGCCGACGTGCTCACTCCTAAGTAAAGGAAGAGAGTCTCGCCGGGTTGGGGCTTGGATAGGACGGGTGGGGAGGCGAGATATTGCTTCAGCTCCTCAAAGGCTTGCTGGCACTCCGTCGTCCATTTGAAGCTGGTGGCCTTCCTCATTATTTGAAAAAAGGGGAGAGACTTCTCAGCGGATTTTGAGAGAAAACGGTTCAGGGCCGCGAGGCGTCCCGTCAGCCGTTGCACCTCCTTTATGTTGCGGGGCGGCTCCATGTTGATAATGGCTTGTATCTTTTCTGGGTTCACCTCGATGCCCCTTCGGCTGACCAGGTACCCCAAGAATTTACCTCCCTGGACGCCGAAGGTGCACTTCTTCGGGTTGAGTCGGAGGTTGTATTTCTTCATGATCTCAAAGATGCCCCGGAGGTCGTCGGCATGAGTTGTGGATTGTTTGCTCTTGACGATCATATCGTCGACGTATGCTTCCATCGTCCGACCTAAGACTGCTCTAAAAATCCGGGCTACCATCCTTGTGTAGGTGGCGCCGGAGTTCTTGAGCCCAAAGGCCATGACGAGGTAGCAAAAAATTCCCTCCGGGGTCATAAAAGCAGTCTTCTCCGCGTCATCTTCGTGCATGGATATCTGGTGGTACCCTCTAAACGCGTCGAGGAACGACATCAACTCGCATCCCGCCGTCTCATCCACCAACTGATCAATGTTGGGGAGAGGGAATGGGTCCATCGGGCACGCCTTGTTCAGGTCAGTGTAATCAACACACATTCTGAACGTGGGCGGTTTTGGTGCGAGGACGACGTTCGCCAACCACGTGGGGTACTTCACCTCTCTTATGTGCTTGATGGAGAGCAGCATGGCTACCTCGGCTTTGACAAATTCCCTCCTGTCGGCTGAGAGGTAGCGCTTCTTCTGCTTGATGGGGGAGGAGGCCGGGTTCACCGATAGCCGATGTGTGATTACCTTCGGGCTGATGCCCGGCATGTCCTCTGGTCCCCATGCGAAGACGATGGCGTACGCTCTCAGGACAGAGAGGATGTCCCTTCGGAACTGTTGGGGGAGCTGTGTCCCAATCTTCAGCGTGCGTTCCGGCCGGGAGACGTCCAACGGAACGTCTTCCACGTCTCCGACCGGTTCAGCCTTCGGTGTGTCTTCTTCGGCCGAGGCGGTGGTGATAGTGTCTATCCGCTCCTCGGCCTCATTAATCTTTCTTGTGAGCCTCAGGTAGCAAGCCCTGGCTATCTTCTGGTTTCCTCTGGCGTAGCCGACGCCGTCCTTGGTGGGGAACTTGAGGCATAGATGTCTCATGGAGATGATGGCCTCAAGGTCCTCCAAGGCCGGTCGTCCCCAAATCATGTTATGGGCGCTGTCCAGGTTGACGACCACGAACTCCATGTCAATCTTCGCCTGACAGGTACCGTCACCGACCACAACGGGAAGCACTATCGTGCCCTCGGCGTCGATAGAGTCCCCGGTGAAGCCGGATAACGGAGTCCGTATCGGCCGGAGCTCGGTCTTCTTCAGCTTCAGCTGTCTGAATGTATCAACGTACATCACATTGACGGAGCTGCCAGTGTCGATGTAGTTGCGGTGGATGATGTTGTTGCCAATCTCGCATTTGACGACGAGGGCGTCCCTGTGGGGCAAGGGGCCGAAGGGGAGGTCCTTGTCGGTGAAAGTGATGGCTTCCAAATGCCGCCGCTTCGGCTGAGGGGGAGCGTGGGTCACCTCACCAACGTATAGGGACTGAGCCCATTTTTTCCGTTGGGTAGCCGAGTCCCCCCCTGTGTTTCCGCCGACGATGATGTGAATGTGATGCTTTTTCTGGCGGGGCTCCTCTTCCTCCTCATCTTCACTGAGGGCGCCGATCTCCCTCTTCTTCCCGGAGGATCCTTCCCCCCTTTTGCCAGGGTTAACCCAAGTGTTACTCTTGGGGGCACCCTTGACAAATTGGGAAAGTTCCCCCTGTCGGATGAGGCCGTCGATGTGCCTCTTCAGGGTGGTGCAATCTTCGGTCTTGTGGGATGTCTGGCGGTGGTACTTGCAGTATGTCCCTCCTTTGTGGACCGCAAATATCTCCTCCTCCGACCTGGGGTCCTTCACAATGAGGCCCTGCGCCTCGGCGTGGTCGAGGACGACGCTCACCGGGTGGGTGAGGGGGATGCGTTGTGCCTCCAACTTTGGACGCCATGAACGGTCATCCCTTCGCTGTCCGCCTTGTTCCTGGTGTGCCTTCTTTGGCTGGTGCTGTCCCTTGTTGGCCGGCGGGTGGTGGGGGTTGGACGAGGAGTCCTTCTTTTGTTGTTTCTCCCCACCCTTCTTCTGGTTCAGGAGCTCGTCGGCATCAGCATGCCTATCTCCGCGTCGGAGCGCCGCGAGGTATGACCGCGGAGGCTCCGTGAACAGGCTCCGGGCGAAGTGGCTCGGCCGGAGTTAGGGCTGAGCACGGGTCGGGTTCGGGCGGGTCGGGTCTGCGTACCCTAAACCCGTTCGGGTTTTTTAAGTTAAATACTAGGCCCGACCCTTTTGATATTTCAAATCGGGTTTTTCGGATATTTGTAAGTCGGATATTATCGGATATCGGATCGGGTTTCGGATATTTCGGTTATATTAAAAAAATTATAATTGGATAATTAAAGTGTTTGAATGCCCCTTTGACAAAAATTCTACAAACTAGTGCACTAAACATTCAAATTACGCAAATAATTTAATACAAATTGCATAAATAACTACACAAATAATTGAACACAAGTATTAATTTAACATATTCAAAGTACACACTACATAATTTAATATGTTTCGAATATTTCGGTTATATTAAAACACATTATAATTAGATAATTAAAGTGTTGGAATGTCACTTTGACAAAAATTGTACAAACTAGTGCACTACACATTCAAATTACAAAAATAATTTAACACAAATTGCACAAATAGTTACACAAATAATTGAACACAAGTATTAATTTAACATATTCAAAATACACACTAATATATTTCGGATATTCGGGCGGGTCGGGTTGGGATTTTACAAACCCTACCCGCCACCCGATCTAGGCCCAATACTAATCGGATTTTCGGTTTCGGATTTTTCGGGTCGGATATCCATTTCGGTTCGGATATTATCCGAAAAAAACTTCGGGTTTTGCGGGTCGGTTCGGGTTTTGCTCAGCCCTAGCCGGAGTGCTCCGCGGAGGAAGGCCAGGAGGGTGCGTTCATCGGCTCCCTCGCATTCGTCCGCCTCCCTCGTCCAGCGGTCGAGGAAGGCTCGGAGCGTCTCCTCCGGCTGTTGTTTGATGGTCAGGAGATGAGCGAAATGCTTCTTCGCGCGTTTCCTCCCGGCAAAGTGAGTGAGGAAGCGTTGAGCAAGGTCCTGCCATGAGTCGATGCTCCCCTCCGGAAGGTTGTTGAACCAATCGTACGCTGGTCCCTCCAAGGTGGAAAGGAACCAGCGGCACATGTATTCCTCCGAAGCGTTGGTCATCATCATGTTGTTCTGATAGCGGGTGAAATGCTCCTGAGGATCAGTGCGGCCGTCATACGGCTTGATCGGATTCCCCTTGTACTTCTCCGGGATGGGAGCGGAGAGCACCCTCGCAGAGAAGGGGGTTCTAGTCCGTATTTGGATGACAGGCTCATCGCGCCGGTCAGCCAACTCTCTTTCCAGAGCACTGACCTTGCTTAGGAGCGCGTCGTAGTTGGGGTGATGGGATGTCTGGGCCGATGCGCGCCCTGCGGCCTCTCGGGCCTCCATGTCAGCGAGGCGCTTCTCCAAGCGGGCGATGATCTCATCCCTTGGGTCTGCGTTGGCCGTGGCGACGCCCAGAGGGGTCTGGGTCCGGGCCGCGTGTGCGAGGTTGATTTGGTGGCGCGCATCATCATCATTCAACTTTCCTTTGCCTTTGTCAGGTCGGGGCCGGTCCGTTGTTCGGGAAACGGACCCGAAGCTTTCCTTTGGCGACCCCGGCTCGCGGCCACCCAACCGACCCGCCACCCCTCCCGTAGGTACCCGACGGCTCGCGATGTCACCCAGCCTGTTGAAGGCTGAGATTTTACCGCGAGGTTGGGCCGGTGTATCCCGGGTAGGTGAGGCAGTGTGGGAATGGGTGTCCACGGCGAGGACGGCCTCGTTGTCACCGAAGAAGGTGACGCCTTGCGGACGAGGTGGCGGTGGTGGCACCGTTGCGACCTCTCCAGTTGCCGGAGTGTTGTTCTCCCCTGTCTTTGCGACGAGAGCGCTGACCACGTTGGGGTCCTGAAGGATGCTCGCAACAATGGCCGATAGTGCAGCCGGGTTGATCTGGGGGGCAGCAGGGTGAGAAGCCTGCTGGCCCGAAGCGCGATCAGCATTGCGCCTGTCCTCGAGCCCGATGCGGGCGTCTGGGGCAGTCTTGTTGAGCTGGACGCGAAGGTCAGCCGTCGCGTGCTCGATCTCCTGAGCGTTCTCATCCTGGTTGATGAAGTCATTGGGGACGTTGTCAGCAATGTTTCCCTGCCCTTCCTGGTTCAGAGGGGCATTCCTACCGGTGTTCTTTGACCTAGTTCTTGTCATAGCTAGTGGTAGTGTCTAGTAGCGACGAAGGGTACTCACTTGATCTGTTCTAAGCTCTCAATGAAAGCACCAAATGATGGAGTATTAATTCTAGAGAGAAGTGAGAGCTAGAGAGAGAAAGTGAGTAATTGTATTTCTCAACTTGGAACCCCCTATAATTAGCCCCTTGGGGTCTATTTATAGGTAAAAATGTGGATTTGGGCCCCTAGCCTTGGGCTTAGGAGGCCCATTACAATAATCATGCCTTCTTCGGGCGAAATTGGGCCACTAATGGGCTGTGTACAATACTTAATAAATAAAGTAGAGAGATGCATTCTGCCCGTACGAAGCCGGGCCGATGCGGTGCCTTTTGGCCGATGCGGTCCCATGGCCGATGCGGTCCATGGGCCGATGCGGTCCCGGGAGTCCATGCGTGCTTCCTGGGCCGGTTTGGTTTCTGGCCGATGCGGACCTACTGGCCGAAGGGGGCCACGTGGGTGTTCTTCTGGCCATCGTTGACTTGAGTATGTGGGCCATGGGGTCCACGCCCATATACTCTATCATCCATCATTCGGGTCTATATCGATACGTTTCATCTTTCGGATCCTAAATTGATAATTAATCTATCTTTTGGGTCTTGAATTGATAAAATTCCTAAAGTATAAGCACATATCTGAACAATAATTAACTATATGAAAATATATATGATATGGCAATTTTCAAAAAATATTGAAAACTTATATACACTATCTAAGAAAATCTCATAACAATATCATATACATAGTACAATATTCCATTTACCCCGTTAGGATTGTCTTATTTTTCTTTTCGGTCAATCTCACCAAAATTGTCTCATATCAAATTTGGTAAAGTTGTGCGAGTCTAAATTACTTTTACTTGGCCAATTTAATATCAACCGTATAAACTCTTTTTCTTAATAAACACATCACTTTCTCATGTCTCAATGATAGTAATTGCTTACAAAATGAACACTATTTTAATATTGGACAAAAGTTGTCGCGCAAGCAAACGTTAGTATATTAAGGGTCTGTTTGCAACATACAGCTTTTACTTTTAAAAAAGTGCTTTTTTTAATGAAATGGGGAGAAGTGATAAAATAAAAGTTGATAGTGTTTGAGAAAAAAATGATTTTGAAAAGTAAAAGTGGGTAATGTTTGGTAAAATAAGTGCTTTTTGTGTAATAAAAAAAGTAAAAGCACTTTTAACGCGGAAGTCGAGAAAAATAAAAGTTGTAGTGTTTAGAAAAATAAGTATTTTTTTTAAAACCAAAAACTGAGAAGTGATTTTTTAAAAGGAGTTGCAACCAACCCTAACAAGAAACGCAATTCAAATTTGTAATTTGTACTCCGTACAACATAAATATTAATTGTAAATTGTTTTCATCATTTGTCTAAGGAAAATGATGTTTGTACCCACTTTTATACCCACTTTTGTACCCACCCATGTTTGTGAAGTTATTTTTTTTGTCTGTGAATTCCTTCACAGACAAAATATGTCTGTGAAGGAATTCAAAGACATATTTTGTCTGTGAAACGGCTTCACAGACAAAAAAATAGCCTTCACAAAGGTGGGTATAAGGTGAGTACAAAGTGGTGGGTACAACAAGCATGATTGTTTATCTAAACCCCACGCCAGTGGATGGGGCTGGGAGATTTACTATTGGTAGTGTACGATTGATCTTATAGATTTGGTTACGAGCAAAAGAAAGAAAAGGATAAATTTGTCCAGCCAGGAAAAGATGGGGCGCGCATAGTAATAATATTGCTGCGCCGAGCTTCACCCCTTCTAGGGTTCCGTTTGGAGTTAGAGCCTCAGAGGTTGGTTTGGTGTGTAAAAATGGCGTGTACCATAGATTTCAGGTTCCTGGATGAGGGTTTCGGAGGCAAAACGTACAAGCGCAAGAGAGCGGAGAAGGAGGCCGGCGTTCGATTGGAGGAGGAAGATGAAGACGCTGTGGCTATGGAAGTCGAGAACGGCGCTCCTCCGTCAAAAAGGCAGGCCGTCTCATCATCCGATGATCCGAATAGGCCGGTGATGGGGAAGCCGACGTACGACGGTGTGATAGCTGGGAGAGTGTCAGGGAGGAACTGGAAGCAGGTCCGGACGCGTAGATCTTCGGCGCTTCATGTTAGTCGGAAGGGGAAGACGCTGGATGAGAAGGTAAAGGAGAAGGAGATAAAGAAGGCGTACAAGGAGAGGATGAGCGAACTGAAAGAGGCGATCAGGCAGAACAAGATAGAGAAGCGGAAGAAGAGGGAGGAGAGGGAGAAAAAGAAGAAGGAGAACATCATCAAATCTGGAACCAAGTTCCAGAAGATCACCAATCCTAAGACTCTTAAGAAAATTGCCAAATCTGCCAAGCAGAAGAAGCTCCTCCAGGTGGTTTCTGATGATCTTCTTAAAGTCAGTAACAAGAAGTAGTAATTCGATCCTTTATTTCAGACTTTGGGATCGTTTTTTGGCTATATACACTTATGATTTTAATGTGTTTTCTCCAAATGTATTATCTAAATCAATGAATGTGTGGTTTTCTTTTAAATCAGTGATTATAACTGTTTCAAATTTTGTTGAAGCTTCCTCTCCAAGATTATTATGGTTTAATCCAAGTCGCTAGCTAATCTGTCTTAGTTTTATTAAATGGCCTTCTTTCATGACAAGCTTATTATTGTTTGCTGTATTGTTGGACTATTTTGTCCTCAATCTCGAAAGATAATCTCATTATCCATCACTGTTAGTATGATCTGCAGCATTGTATTGTGGTAAGTGATGGTAGCTGGAGCCCATGGCCCTACTCTTAGGGTGTGTTTGGGAGTAGAATTTTGGGGAGGAGGGGAAGGGATGGGAGGGTCAATGACCCTCCATTTTCTAGAAGTGACATTAATGGGGGAAGATTGATTGAACAACACTGCTAATTTTTCAGCCTGGTTCTAAAACTGTTTACAGTGCTCTCACACTCCTTTACCAATTTAGAAACCAAATCAGTGGTGAAGAAGGGTTGTTGAAGAACTTTTTTAATGAAAGGAGGGTGTGGATCTTTGCCACGCCTGTGTAGTGTGTAGTTAAGATTGCTGTAGTTTATAAGAAGAATCATCTCTCCATGAAAATCGATAATGTCTTTCCTGATGTTCATCATTTCTTCTATGTGATATGGATTAACAACTCGTTTGCTCTGAAAAGGAAATGCTAGGTTTCATCGTTCATTTGTTTGTATTTTTAATTTTTAGTTTTTAAACTGTTTATCTTGTCTAAGTTCCTTACTTCCTTTGTATTTTATGGAGATGAGGTTTCTTCTTTTCACTATGTGACCTAAATTTTCACTCGCAGAAGTGCTGTTTTGTGTGTTTATTCATCATTTTCTTAATTATAGTGCTGGAGATTACAACCAGTGCCCTCAAAAAGATTTTGGGTTTTGAAGAAGCATGGATCAAAAGTTCAAAACAGTATCGGTCTAAAATGTATAGGATTTACATTGAGACTGTCACATGGTTCTGGCCCATGAGCGACTTAAAACCACTATACAAGGTCAGTAATAGTGAGTTATTGCTGCAGTTTGGTGACAGTATTGTTGTTTACAATGGAAAGACAAGAGTGTGAGGTATTCTTAGGACCGGGGTGTATTGTATTTGCATTGATTTTTTTAATTCAAAGACTTTTAAGAAGTGAATAGAAATTTAAATCCATAAACGTTTCTATGAATAAAATCCGTTGAGTTACATAAATCTATGGACTTTTCAAAGATTTTAAATTCAAAGACTCTTGACCTTTTTATAGGGCTCAAGTGCAAAGCCTGTAAAAAACTGGCAGCCCTTTTTGAAGAAGTTAAGAAAACATTCAAAAAAAAAAAAAAAAAAGAGTTAAGAAAACATTCGAGAAATCACTGGAAGCCTTTTAAGTTGAAAACAAGAGTGTTTTGAAATTATTTTTCAGTATACTATTAATTTTTATTGAGGCTTTTGCAACTGTTTATCTTATCAACAGTTTTTATATATACGGACATACGGTCTCTATGATGAACATGCTTGAGATGGTAAGATTTTTTTATTTCTTGTTAACTTCTTAAAATGATAGATAAAATAACTTTCATAAGAAAGCCAGTAACATGATAGTGTCGTGTCGATGATATAATAATACTATAATAGTGAAGTAACAATGTCGATGATATAATAGTGAAGTAACAATGATGCCGCAAATGGAGTACTATTTTCACATTGAATTGAATTGAATTGAACATTCATCAATTAACTCAGCAAAACTAATTAAGATGCATACCTATGCTCTTACATTCATGCATATTTGTTTGCCTTGTGACACTCCCAAAGAGGAGATTGTGCATTCAAAACTATCCTCCCAAAGAGAAGGTCATGTTCAAAACTCATCTAGTCAAGGATGTTGGTGTTTAATAGGTGCTATAACAAACTAGAAATTTTAGCTTAAACTTGCCAAGTTTTGAACAAATACATCTCCTCAAGGTATAGAAGTATCAAACACATATCCAAGTGCCGGTGGGCATAACTTAGCTAGTAGATTGAGGTATCACAAGGGGTGAGTCTCAAGTTCGAAACCTATCAACTGCGATAAGAGGTTATGATAAGATGTTACAGTTTAAAAATGCAGAGGGCCTCTATAGGTATTTAGGCAGAGGCTTAGGGATGAGATGTCATCTTTTTTCTAACATTAGAGCCTGTTTGGATGGAGAGTTGAAAGATGTTGGTAATGTAAGTGTTAGTAAGTGTGGGCAAAGGCCTGGAAAGAGGAGGTAAGTGCAAATGTAAAACATAAACTTACCTTATTTGGGAGAGTAAAAGATGAAGTGTTGCCAATGGAAGTTTTATCAGTTAAATTGACAATAATGCCCTGCAATTGCCACACCAATGAAGCTACAAACCATGCTCCAGAAACACAAACACTCGCACCGTGAAGCTTTAATCTTCCCTATATGATAGAGCTGCCGCCTCCTGCAAGATAGCCAATAAGAGCGACACTCCTTCTGATGAAGTTGGCAGCCTAGGACGCCCGAATTCTGAGAGCTTGAACCCTGCCGCGATTGAGTCTCCTCAAACGCCGCCCATCCTATTCGAAAACCATCAAAACAGAGGGCGATCTCAATCACCCATCCCTCGTCCATGCGCACAACAACCGCATCCAACGACGCATCCAACACAGCCAGCTTGAATACAAACGCGGTTGGAGTCATCGGAATCAACGATTCAATCCACAACCGCAAGAGAAGAGGACAATCCATAGCATGACCCCCCTGAATCATCCCCAAAGCACACCAGAAAATTAACCAAACCCGCACCATCCCTCAACGACGGTCGAAGGCGGCGGGAGAAGAAAACCCTAAAAGAAGGGAGAGGACCACATTTTGCAATATCTCTTCACATTATCAAGATAGTTTGAAGTAAATTATTCTTTATCTCATATATATTAGTCCATCTCGGAAAATAAATATAGTAATGAATCATTAATTTAAAATGAGAAACAAGTCAAACAACCACAATTTTAAAATTAAAAGTACAAATACTCAAAGTTCTTGGGTAATGGAGATAAAAAAAACTATACTCTAATAAATAAATAAATAAAAGTTCAAATACATGTTTTTACTAGAGATACTAATTTCCAGGGATAACATCATTTTCCAAAAATACAACATCCAGTTCTGGTTATCTATGGAAAGGTTGATGAACTCAAGTACTCATATGTCCTATATGCTTCCAAAGTCATCTACACCAACATCTCACATTTTACTTGCCGTTCATATACTTAGTTGTGTGCGATATAAAGCAATGTACTACATTCGTCCCGTTGGAAGGTTCTCATAGCAAAACGACACAGTTATTTAGACAATAATTAAATAAAGTATTTCGAGTATATTTTGAGAAATACTTTTAATAGGTACGGAGTATATATTTAAATGTAGTTAGTATTGATAATCGTGATGTTATAAATATATTATGTTTAATCTTTAATGATTAATTTGTCACTTAAGATTGTTAATTGTTTCTTAAAATAGAAATGAGAACTTTTTAATGGGACGTTCAAAAAAGAAAAGTGAGAACCTTCTAATGGGACAGGGGGAGTAACATTTATATTTAGTTTTTCATTTTTTAAAAATTTGATTATGTAAACTTTAGGTGTTGTCATGTTGTGTTTTATTAAAAAGTTAATACGTGTGCCGTTGTGCAAGGTGGTCGCCTTCCCTCACCGACAAATAGTGAATCACAACGGCCAGAACGCACATTTCATTTCCGCCACAGGAAAATGGAAATTGCACCCTCTTCCGACGATGAAGAAGATCGCAGGAAGCTTATCGGCAATGGAGGACAGTGGGATGGCGCAAAATCTCCAGCTCGGTCCACTTTCCAGATCGACGACATAAAAAACCGGTTCAACGACGCCGGGCGATTAGACTGCGGCTTCAAGAAGAGGTACTGCTTAGCCTTCATTCTCCCACTCTTTGTTCTCACCCTTTACGTTACTACTGACATCAAAGGCATCTTCCGAACTGGAGTCTCTAATATCGCCTTCGACTTTACGGTTAGTCGCATGCGCGAGTCCGAGTTACGTGCTCTGTATATGCTTCGGCAGCAGCAATTAGGGCTTTTCAAGCTGTGGAACCACTCGTTCCTAAATACAACGAGCTCCGCTTCTGTTAATAATACTGATGATTCTAATAAATTGCTTTCGAGTTCGCCATCTTCCATTGTAATATCAGAGGATATGAAAGCTGATTTGCTTAGTCAGATCTCATTGAATAAGCAAATTCAAGAAGCTCTTCTGTCATCACATCAATTCCAGAATTCATTAGATGTATTATCAGATAATTTCACAGATCCAAGCATTAGCGGACTAGGTAGGTGTGCGAAGGTTGATCAGGGGTGGTCTGAGAGGAAAACTATCGAATGGAAGCCAGAACCAAATAAGTATTTGTTTGCCGTTTGTGTCTCTGGTCAAATGTCGAACCATTTGATTTGTTTGGAGAAACATATGTTTTTTGCAGCAGTGCTTAATCGCATTTTGGTCATTCCCAGCTCAAAAGTAGACTATGAGTTTCAAAGGGTTTTGGATATTGAACATATAAATACGTGTTTGGGGAGAAAAGTAGTTATTGCTTATGAGGAGCTTGCAGAAAGTCAGAAGAACCGTGTGCATATAGATAGGTTCATTTGTTATTTTTCTCTGCCGCAACCTTGTTTCATGGACGAAGAGCGGATTAAAAAGTTGAAATCTTCAGGAGTTTCCATGAATAAGCTGGAAACTGCTTGGAACGAGGATATTAAAAACCCGTCACAGAAGACAATCCAAGATGTAGTTTCAAAGTTTTCTTCAGTTGATGATGTTATTGCTATTGGCGATGTGTTCTTTGCGGATGTTGAGAGAGACATGGTGGTGCAACCAGGCGGACCCATTGCGCACAAGTGCAAAACCCTAATTGAGCCCAGCCGTCTTATTGTGCTCACTGCCCAAAGATTTGTTCAGACATTTTTGGGTGACAACTTTATAGCTCTTCATTTCCGTCGGCACGGTTTCTTGAAATTTTGGTATGTTGTTATTCCTTTTCTGTAAATCACCAAAGTCTTTTTGGACTAGGCTTGGATTTTGTTGTATTCCTTTGTTGTAAATGATTTCATTTGCGACATTCTCATTTTTCGTCATCCTAAAAGTCTGTCTTTAACTTTAGTTTTACTCCCTCCATTATTTTAGTTGATCCATTAGGTTTTTATTGTTTTTAAGAGGGATTTTATAGGGTAGAGAATAGTAAGAGAGAGTTGAAATGGTAGAAAATGTAAGAAAGTGGAGATATGAAAGTAAGGATTTTATGTATATTGATTTGAGTGTACTTTCAACTTAATAAAGTGGGGCAAGTAATACAAAACAGGATTATAAAACTGAAGAAACAAAAGCTTGAAAGTGACAAGTGTTACATGAAGGTGTATCTTTGCCTTCTATTGATAAGAGTGAATTTAGTGAAGCTGCTGAAATTTTTAGAATTGTTGCTTATGTAAATCAAGTTGCTGTAGTTTTTAATTATGCAAAAGGAAATATCTAATACTGCATATATTTTGTTGATAAAGTAAAGAAAATATAAAGTTATTTTTAGAATGACCATTTCTGCAGGCTACAGCTACCACCAAGATCTGTGTGTTTTTTGCCGTTATTATTCAATCTAGTGTGTGCAATCAAATAATCTAGTACAACAACAACAACAACATTAGCCCAGTGCCGCAAAGGCTCCCACCTACGGTGGGGTAAGGGTAATCAAATAATTTAGTCTTTGGTACGTAGAATAAAAATGGCTAAAAAGTGTGCTGATATGCCAAAAAAATTGACTACCAAATGGTCATCGAGAAATACGCTCGACCTCATATTTTGCATCACATTGCATTCAAATATGCATCGAATGATGTAGTTGTCTGCTGGAGCTTAATATGATTTGATGAATGTGTATTTTTTCCCTAATCACACTTGAGCTAAATTACCAGCAATGCCAAGAAACCGAGTTGCTTCTACCCCATTCCTCAAGCTGCTGATTGCATCAATCGTATGGTTGAAAGAGCCAATTCCCCAATAATATATCTATCTACAGATGCCGCAGAAAGTGAAACTAATTTGCTTCAGTCTCTGGTTCTCCTCGATGGAAAGAGTGTCCCTCTTGTTACAAGACCTGCTCGTAATTCAGCAGAAAAATGGGATGCTTTATTATATCGGCATGGCCTTGAGGGAGACACTCAGGTGAGCATTTGACTTAACCCGCATTTGAGTTATCGATGTGTCAGCAGGTGGTTGTCAGTAGACTATTGGCTCGATATTTCATTGGCTGAAGAATTAATTGCAACTCATTCTTTGCAAGTTTCTATTGATTTATTAATTTATTTAGGGTATTAGGGGAAAGGGAAGGAAAGTGGAGAAGCTATGAACTCCTCCAAACTCCACATATTTCACTCCCTCACTCCCCCAATTTGGGGTATTTCATTGGGCTTTTTTGTTAATTCTTTTTGGCCTTTTTTAAATCAAAAGTACTCTTATCATTTTTGTTATTCATATAGATCAGTGTATAAGTGTATTAACTTACATGAAAAGTTATATCAAATATACAATTTTTTTAAGTATTGATTCTTATTTTGCTCCTCCATTGAATCAAACATACTTTTTAACTCTTCAATTTTTCCCCCTTCTTTTGAAGCAACAAAAGGCTTAGGATTAAGACTGGACTCCATGAATCATTGATGTCTTGTGTGTGTTTATATTAATATTGTATAACCACACAATATATTATTACGGCAGTTCTAGGAAAACTTTGAGCAATCAATTCATTTTGTGAGTACTGGGGAGTGAGAGGGGAGACAAGTATGTCTGTTGGAGAAGTCCCTTTGGGGGCTATTTAGGTGTATAAATAATGTATAATTGATCTGACCCCCCCCCCCCCCCCACCTCACTCCCACACTCACACACACAAATACTGTTTTTCATTTGGCTTGCTGTTTTTCCTTCAATATTGTACGGTTATCTTGGCTTTGAAGGTGGAAGCAATGCTGGACAAGACAATATGTGCATTGTCCGCTGTGTTCATAGGATCTCCCGGGTCCACCTTCACCGAGGACATTCTAAGGCTCCGGAGGGGCTGGGGCTCAGCATCTCTGTGTGATGAGTATCTTTGTCAAGGTGAAATCCCAAACTTCATTGCAGATGACGAGTGAGTCCCAAACTTCATTGCAGATGACGAGTGAGTCATACACTTTGGGAACTACAGTGACTAGGGGTGCGATTGGCCACCACAAGTTTGGTGGAACCAGAAATACACTCGCCATCAAGTTATATACTGCATTTGGCTGATCAATGTTGCCTGATTTTTTAAGGAGACGAAGTGGTCTAGCCGTTTGCTCATTCTTGCCTTTATGTTTGTGTGTATGTAGTGTATAAATTTTACAGTTTTGGTATATTAGGTAGTCTCCATTTTTTGTCTTTGACTTTTCTGTTTTGATAAATAACTAGATTTTTTCCCAGTATATATCTTTCCTGCGAGTCTGGGACCTATCAACTGAGTCTTGGAAATTCGCTGTGGGTGTATATTGAGGGTTTTGGCATTAAGTTAGGCACTATGAAGCATCAACTGAGTCTTGAAAATTCATTGTGGGTGTATATTGAGGGTTTTGGCATTAAGTTAGGCACTATGAAGCACGGATACTTCAGGGTAATAGGGTATCGTATCGGCGTATCGGAAACGTTCCAGTATCTGATACTCTAGAATACTCGTACTATACGTTCTCGGGCCGTATCTGTAATTTTTAAAAGTTTCCATTTTTGGTAATTATTTTAACATTTCGGATACTCGTTTTGTACGGATACTCCCATCACTTTAAAAAAAAACTTCAAAAAATTTTTTTTTTTAAAAAACACTCAAAATTTACATAATAAAATAATTAAAGATGAAAAGCTAAAAAAAATTACCTTACTTTTATGTGGTACACATCTAATGGGTCTATTCCTAATTCACCAATCCTCCTATCCCTAATTCTAATTATCCCTGGAAACTAATAGCTGCAACGGAAATATGTATTATAACTTTTAATACTTGCACTTGGAGTATTCTGAGAACTCTTCATTATTCTAAAACTTTGAGTACTTGCATTTTTAATTTCAAAACTGTAGTTGTTTGACTTATATTTCATTTTAAATTAATGACTTATTGACTATATTTATATTTCGAGATGCACTAATGTATATGAGATAAAATATGAATTTTTTGTAAGTATCTTGAAAATGTAAATGTTTCAATTTATGAATGGGTAAACGTGAGAGGATAATATATGTGTATTATTTCAAAAAAAAAAATTGATATTTATAAATACACCCACATAACTTTTAATATTTATAGATATGGTTCTGTATCCGTATCCTACTTTTTTTGGTTTTGTTGTATCGCCGTACCAGAAGAGCGGTTAGGCAATCATGTTTCTAAATCATGTTTCTAGCTTATATAAGCTTTTTCTTAGCCATATTATTTACCAAATACTCCGTACTAATTTGTTGAATCAACACAATGGGTTAATAATAAAAGTAAATATAATTGAAGTTTAATCAACTTATAATTTAACAAATTCCGCCATTCGAGTCATAATTTCAATAAAAAAATGGTGTAAAAATGTGGGACACAAAGCATGAGAACAATGCTTCTCTTTGGATTGATGATCTGGTACGAAACTCTTCATGGATGTTTCAATATAAAGATGATCAAATTGATTTTAAAAAAACTTTCAATATAAAGTTAGTATTGAACAAGTATATTCAGACGACCTAAAAAGGGTAAAACGAAACTAACAAAATGAAACTAGTAAATATTTGTAGCCTTTGAGTGAAATTGGAAAACATAAAGATGAGCGACAACGCAACAGGAAGGAAAACCTTTAATACTCCTAATAATCGGGTATGCGTGTAACCTAGGGAAGAAATCTTGTCACATCTTTCCTTTTCGGTCCGTCCCACTAAGATGGTCTCATACCAAATTTCGTAAAATTTCTATGATTCTAAATCATTTTTACTTTATTCTTACTTTACCAATTCAATATCAACCTACAAATTCATTTCGCTTTATAATTGTGTCACCCCTTAATAGGCATCGACTGGTCCCGGACCGGGCCGGGCTCCCGACTGGTCCCGGACCGGGCCGGGCTCCGGGCCGGTCCTCAGCAGGCTTTTTGGGTTTGGCTTCAGGCCCGGGTTTCCACCGGGTCCAGTCCAGTCCTGGTCCGGTCCCCGGGCTTCTTCATTTTTATTTGCTTTTCTAATTAACCCCCGACTCTCCCCCCCCCCCCCCCCCCAAACACCCAGCCCAACCAGGGAAAAACAAAAAAAAATTGAAAAAAAAAACGAACCGGACCCGGATGAGCCGGTTCCTATTTTGGGTGACCCGAGCCCGACCCGTATAACCCCCGGGCCAAGCCTACCCGGACCGGTTCCAAACAGTGCCGGGCCGATCGGCCCGGAACCAGTCCACCACTACCCCTTATTGTCCCAATGTTAGTGGGACGGAGGTAGTATTATTTTAGGGCATTGCTAACTGGTTTGGGATCGTAGCCCCATTTTGCTTGTGTGGAGTAATTTAGAACTGGTAATGATCTGAAAAATATGGGACCTATAGTTCAGTTCTGCATAAACCCCCTCCCCAACCCTACTTCAATAAAGAAATGGATGCAAATAATAGGACTGAAGGGCTTGCGTTGTATATGAGGAAAGATTCATCCATAGCCTCTTTTCAATACTTCCCCCATTTCCAATTTTCCATACAACAAAAATAGGAATCCAGGAGTAGAACATGCTATTAACAATATTATAGGACCATGCTACTATGTGATGATGCTACATTGCTACAATGCAACCGAGGCAGATGAACAGATCGGGCAGGATTCACAGCAAAATATGCTCAGCCGGGCAAATCGACCTTGGATTAAGCAGCAGTTCATTATACGCAAGGCTATGGATCGAACTCTTGAGAATCCCCACTCCCAGACCTGGGAGTCCGTGGATCTGGGCCAAATGTCCTCTTGCTCATGTTGGCCCGTTGCACCAGACGCACCAACGCTTCAACAACTTCTGACATTGGTGGTCGGAACTCGGGCTCGGGCTGAAACATTTTTTACAAGAACCATCAAGACTGAATAATGTCATTTCAAGTAAGTTATCACATATATGGAGTTTGTTTGGTAAGGCTTCCTTTTCCGCTTATCAGCTAGTTTTTTTTATACCAAAAACCACCTTATTTCACTATGTTGTCATAATCTGCTTATATATAGAGAAAAATGTATTGCATAAGTTTTTTTTGCTTAAATGATGCTTCTACCTTTTTAGAGAGTAATTTCATTAACTGGAAAATAAGTTTCTTATCAATAAGATGCAGTACTAGTACTTTAGAATTTTAGATAGTTCAGAAAATTCACTCATTCAACCAGAATCAAAGTCAACCATATTTAGTAAGCACCACTCTATTTTATATAATTGTTCAAATTTATGCTATTCTTTTTTAGGAATTACTTTATTTAATTCATTAAATTAACACACACACACACATATATATGTAGTATACAATAATTTCCACAAGCCTCAATCAATTGACCCACCCTTACACCACAGACATTTTAATCATTTTAAGCATTACCAAACAGCCTGACAAATGTCATCTCCCTGTGCTTTAATGCTTAGCAATTGATTACTTTGCTGTAAAATCTCTACGTAGGCCCCGAGTAATCGCCCCTACTGATTATGCTCCTTGGGCATCTTGCCCCATAAGGGTTATTTGGTTAAAATGGTTGAATCTAGTATAGTTTTTCAAAACAAAAGCATTTCAAATTGAATCTACTATTTTTCACCTTGGGAGCATAACTTTTTTTCTAGCTTAGCCCCAAACCCCGAATTAATCAGAGACAAGTCACTCGGACCCAGTCTAACACCTAACACTTGTTATTTAAAACATTGATATTTGATTTTATTAATTTCATAAAATTTTGACTAAGACATTACCTGGACACAAAGCGCGATAACATCAGCAAATCGGGAGAGAGATTTAACAGGATAAAGCCCTTTAAGTGCTGGATCAACCATCTTAGACAAGGCGTCAATGTCGTGAAGCTGAGGTGTAGCCCATCGAACTAAGGACTGTTCAGATCTTGGCCTTGAACTGCATAATGTAGAGAAAGAGAGCAAGTAATGATATTAGAGGTATTTTCTAGTAACATCTCTCATTTGTGGCAAGGGGAGGGGGTCTACAGGTTCTTGAATAAAATTAGTTTGACACCTGTCGAATGGTACTCTTCCAGTAAGAAGTTCCAACATTGCAACCCCAAAACTGTACACATCACTCTTTATTGTATACTGCTCCGGCTTATCTACCTCAGGCGCACCATATCCCGATCCTGAATTATGATTTAGGGCCTGCAGAAAACACAGTAAATTGATATCATTATTGTTGTGTAGACAAATCCTTATTTTTTTTTATGTTTACAATTTTACATAAAATAAAGGCATTTACATAAAATTATATTAGAAACATTAAACAGAATGGCCAAGCACTAATCAAATTCAAAGGCATCAAAAAGCTACCTGATCTTCAACCGGTATGAGGCTTGCTAAACCAGAATCTGATAAGTGTGGGTTGAATTCTAAATCTAGCAGAACGTTAGCAGATTTGAAGTTTTTATGAACCACCGATGGTGAGCAAACTTCATGTAGGTACCTGCAAAAGATGCTTAGTAAGCTTGCATGCATACTTCAATGTATACTACACATTTTACTAGAAAGTTTGAATTTAATTCTGGATTTAAAGATAATAGGATGGAGATTACAGAAGAGAAGTCAGGGTTTAGCAGGTTCCATATTATAATTCTATATTACTTCGTAGTATTCATCTTTTCAAACAAAATTTGAATTAAAACCACATGTTTAGGGTTTTCACAGGTTCTGTTTTTTTTCTTTTTACAAATAATGTCTTCTTTACGAAATAGTCATAAAATATTGATGAACTAAACTTACTCAAGTGCACGTGCTGCCCCCAAAGCAATCTTGACTCTGCAGTTCCAAGCAAGTGTCTTGCTGTACTCATCCGAGAGGTGCAAAAGATCATACAAAGAACCACTTTTGTAGAACTCGTAAACTAGTAGATACTGGTTGAACTCTGAGCAATATCCAACTAACTCAGCAACATTTGGATGATGCAGCCGGGATACCTCAGAAATTATATCAAGAAAATCTTCTGGATTCTTGATAGCAGACGAATTAATTTTCTTTACAGCAAAAACCTAAGACAATAATTAGTGTAACTATGATTAAATGGTAAATACATCATTTATTGAAGGATCGATTGCATCAACTTCCCCGAGATTAGCCAAATCCCTTGATACTTCCAAATATTACAGATAAGCCTCTTCATAAGCCCCTGATCAAGTTAATCCCTTTTAACTTCAACTTCATATGTCGATGCATGTTAGCCAACCTAAGTCTTTTGGGACTAAGGCTTCGATGGTGTTGGTCTTTTTAAATTGAAAGATAATAGAATATAATGACATCAACCAAAATTGCGCGTCTTAATTCTTAAGATTGAATTTGGCTTTTTCAATGCCTTTTTAAGCTAAAATTTTAAGTCTTCTCTAAAAAAATCATCCGGACTAATTTTGTGGATAATTAGTTCCAAAATATCAATCCCTACTAATATCATTATATTTCCCGGGGTTGTTTGTGGAAAATCTGTCTGGTCAAGGGGCTTATCTGTAATTTACAAAAGCTTCCAATGTCATTTGGTAATTTAACCAAACCCAAAGGGAGGTAGATGTAATAAACTCTATTTAAGGTAGACATCAAAAGCTGCATTGGAGAAAAGTATTATTCTTAAGTAGGGTTATACCTTTCCGTTTTCAAATTGAGCCCGGTAAACACTTCCAATTGATCCCTCACCAAGAAGATTCTCATCGCTGAAGCTATCAGTAGCAATTTGTAGGTCAGCAACAGTGTATTGAGTGGCATTTATTTGAGAAGTATCAATTTTCTTGGGAGTAACTACAATTGCTTTGGCTGATAAATCATTTTCATCGAATGATTTAGCGCGATCAGCTGGAGGTGGTCTTAAATTTATAACTTCGATGGGTTTGTCGAAGGTTTTCATTCCCGGTGTGGACTCGGTTTGAACAAATTTCCTCTCTGCATGCAAAGTTACAGGAAATTAACCAAATTATGTTACCCCTTCCATTGAGAACGCTTACATTTGCAAGTATTTTAAATAAGTTGATGTGCATTTTTCATGCGTCCAGATAAATCATTTTTTATTCTAGGCCCTCATAAGTCATAAAATAATCTCTCTCATTTATCTATGTAATTTGTGTTAATTTCTTTTTAGTCCCCCACTGTCAACCTTTGTTTATGAAAAACTGACATGGCTCATAGAACTCCTAGCTAGCTTTTCTAAATCATTTTAAAAAATGGTTTTGAATTTTATTCCCAGAGAGCAAGAATTATATATTGAAATATGGAAATGATGAGTTTTGATTATCCCAAACTTTTGAAATGATCACATATAACTTGCAGAAATGTTTGCATTGAAAGTCATATAACTGGATTTTTGTGCACCACACCAGTTATTTTAAATTGAAATACTAATAAGAAAGTAGCACAAACTAAAAAAAAAGTAGCACAAACTAAAAAAAAAGTAGCACAAACTACAAGGATGAATAACAATGATAACACAGGAACCTAAAAGGAAAAACCTTATACCTGTCAGATTAAAATCATATTAAGCCTATTAAATATTGTTCCGTTATCTCAAGATCTATAAAGATCCAACAAGTTCTGAGAGACGCCTGGAGAATAAAATAGGTTGTGAACTTGTGACTCATACAAAACACTTTTTTATGGCATACCTTGTGCTTCATGTGAGACGAGAGGAGGAAACTGATGATTGTTATTAACCTTTTCAATATCTGTTGATTCCCTCTTTGATCTTCTCCTCTTCATAATAAAGAATAATGCTAGTGCTCCTATAGCTAAAATGGATATTATAATTCCTGCAACAGCACCACCCCCTATACCGGATTTTCCTCTTCTTCCTTCTCCTCCTCCTCCTCCACCACTACCATTATCACTGCCTCCACTTGGTGGGCTGCTACTGCCTTCAGGTCTATGGTTCGGCTTGACCACAGGTGGTGTGCCAGGTGGGGGTGGGGGTGCGGGCCCTGAGCTCCACAAATTATTTCCCGTTCTGTATATAAGAACTGAAAGTTAGACGCATGCCATGTCTGGAATGCTGAAAATGGTAAGGCCTAGGGAAAGGATTCAAAGGAAGAAGATGGGCTAAAGAAATATGTAGTAGTTATTAGTTGTTAATTAATGTTTGATAGCATGGAAAATATGTAGGAAAATCAAATTTGATTAAAGCTTTTTAAAATTCTAAAAATATTTAAATTTCTTAGTTTTGTACAACAGAAGATGATATATATGTATAGGGGATGGTTCTAGTGAGAACCCATCTTAAAATGAGAACTTGTTACAATGAGAACTTTTAATCACAATCTTTTATTCAATTCAAATATTGGTAGGATGCACATGGGGTACTTTGTGTAATTATTGAAAATTCAAATGGGGTCTTTTTTGTAATTATTGTAGAACTATTACAAAATTGAATTAATTTTAACCCTTGATTTCATAAATCAAGAATGTCGATTAGAAGTTCTCATTTATAAATGGGTTCTCGTTTTAATATAAATCACAGGAGTTCTAACAAATATTTGAAACATATTTTTTGAGTTTGATGAAATATCTGAAATATATATGTTTAGTTTGAACCGTTTTCCCCATAAACATTACGTAGTATTTCCTTTAAGTTTCTCCTCAATATTCTTTCCTGAACATGGACGCAAAGAGATGCATAGTTTTAGTCGTTGAGATAATCTCTCGGACCTTGGCCCACCCTGAAAACCGGTAAATAATTTTTTCTGTGTACCATTTTTGCTATAAAATCTATATAAATGAATTGTTTTTGTGGCCCACCCAAATTCAAATTTTAGGAGTCCTAATTATGCCCATATTCAAATCCCTTGTAGTTAAAAATACTCACTCTAAACCTTTTATGCCCGTCAGCTGTGAAGGAATCCATCCAGTAAATTGGTTGTTCTCCACATTCCTATAAGAGAAGTATGAGTCACAGCCTAAACAGTTCATTTCAACAAACATATGAAGTATTTGATACCGAAATACGAATACACATAACTACACACACAAAATAAATACATTAAGACATATATATATATATATATATATGTATGTATATGTATATACAACTCACAGATTATCAAGGGGAAGATTTGCAAGAACGTCAATAGTTCCAGTGAACTGGTTGTCTTGCAAATACCTAAAAGATGACAGACACTCATATGTGTTTAGCAGCTTTCCAAGAAAACATGTCAAGTGCTTAAAAACAAAGAAAATGTTTACTTACATATTTTTCATATTTGTAAGTGAGCTGAACGTTTGGGGAAGATTACCATTGAGATTATTAAACGAGAAATCCCTGAAGTATTAAGAGAAATCATCATAATCATAGTTAGGATATTTTGGATCCCAAAATGCTAAAGAAAGGAGAATGATGTGAAGGAAAGATATTTTCTTATGGATGACTTTACTAGTTTACTCCAGAAAATGTGAAGGAAAATAATATTATTAGTATTAAAATATTTAATAAATCGATTTAGACTGCTTAGTTTTTACACAATATATAAGAATATGTACAAAATGAGATTGAACAAATATCTAAATTTGAGCTTGTCTTTTATTCTCTCAGGATTTTTCTTCCTTCTAAGTTTCCTCTCTACTTTCCTCCCTATTTTATTTTCTTATCCTTCATCAAAGCAAATTCCAAAGGAAGCAGAGAAGATAAGCAAAAGCAAAAAGTCTGGTCCCTCCATCCATCCATTAACAACAAGCAGTTACGTTTATAAGTTGCCTGATAGTAATAAAAGGACATGTCACCCCATGAATATCTTAGGACTTCTTGATCAGATTACAGTAATAAAAAAATATAGGTATTTCTGCACATGGAAAAAAATGAGGAAAGCAAGGTCTTAGTATCTTACAGTGTTGATAAGTTTGTAAGTGATAAAAACATCACAGTCACCTCACCTTGAAGTTGATTGTGACTCACATTTCTACAATTGGAAATGAAGGAAGCAAAAGTATTATAAGTCATACACATTTAAATCAAAATTGTATTAGAATTTGGATTAAGTTTGTTCTGAGCATAACTTACAAATATTCAAGAAAAGGCATTTGTGAGATAGAATATGGAAGGACACCACTAAATCCATTGGCAGCAACATTTCTGCATTTAATATACTGTAGATGGTAATAAAGAAATTTTAATTACTTGCAGAATACGGAGGGCCGGGCAAGTAAGAATCTTACAGTTTCTGCACATTTTGAGGAAGCTGGTATGGTAACATTCCCCCAAGATTATTATTGCTTATATCACTGCAAAGTTGAAGGAAATCATCACTATAGAACATTCCAAATAACCACACGAAACTAACGTCTAAAACGGTCGCCCTTACAAGGTGGTTACAGAACTCAGTTGATCCAGTTGGAATCCCAATGACCCAGTGAGTCCTAGATTTGAAATATCACTGAAAAGGAATGAAAAAATTAATGCATGGATTTTGAAAGTGGAGGTAAAGTGCATGATGATAAGTTATATGGGAGTATGGGACATTATTGAAGGATTACATTCCAGTTACTCTATTGTCGGACCCTGAACAAGTTATGCCTTTCCATGACTCTCCACAAGGGTCACCACCATTAACGTTCCATTTTGTTAACTGTGGTGCTAAGCTCAGGCTGGAGAACAATGCCCTCAGAACGTTTGCTGAAAATGAAAAAAAAAAACGGGAAATAGCCATTTTAATATTCCGTTTGAGATGAACATTCATAACTATATATAGACCTCTGTGGGGACAGAATCAAGCTAGCTCATTCTATGAAAAGCTCAAACTGGTAATGAGAGATTAAAAAAGTCCCCAAAATGTTTTCTGAGTTTCTAAATATGAATTATGAAGTAAAAGGACCATTTTTCAGACATTACTTGAACAGGTAAGCCATCAAAGAAGAAAGTGAAATAAGTAATCCCGCACTAAAGAGAGAGAGAGAATGGGATTATGGGAATCTTCCTTCTTTAACCATCAAAAGATTTGTATGAACAAGGGAATATTTCATCTTTAACAAATCCAGGCCTTGACAAAGGAAGCTGTCGTCTTTTGCAGCCCAGAAAAGTGTATAAAAAAGCATATGATAAAAAAAAGTTGGCGTCTTTACTCATAATTCCAAATCAAACACTAACATTCCAAGAAACCCAAAAATAAAGACATTCGAAAAACGATGTCCATAGACATAACTACAAACACACACGAGGCAGGAAAGTGGGAGAATGAACAAACCATCATTTGGATATGTATCAGCGGCGGCGGAGCTCGGACCACTGACCATAACCCCGACGGCAAGCGCCACCGCCCACAGCGCCGCCATTGGTGCGAGCTGTTCTGCTCTCATCTTGAATTCTCAGCAGAAAGAAGGCATGCCCAGTCCCAGCTAGCGAACAAAAAGGTCTTCTCAGACCTTCTTCCCCCTTTTTTCTCTCTCAATGAATACGCACTTATTACTATTAATCCTTAAACCATGAAAATAAAATACTCCGTGGTAATCATCATGTGCAAATACTATTATATGATGAATATCTGATTTTAAAAGATTAAAAAATACGGAGTAAAAAAGGCCTTTCGTCGAACACAGTGAAAGGCTCATACTTTAGTGTTGCGCCCACACCCTTTCCAAGTAAAGCTGGCAGCACGAACCGCTGCTATCAGAAGAAGAATCCAAGGCCACATAATTCCTGTCCCCTACCCACTCCGAATACGTATTTCTTCTTTCACAAATACAAGTAAAAATACTCCGTCATCTTCTTCTTTTTTCGTAAAATACTCCGTAATCTATGCTAACTGTTTCTTTAATGAGGACTACGTACTTCTGACTTTCTGAGTATAAATAAATGAATTGAGATGCTTCACTGGTCAGAAAAATATACGGAGAAAGAAGGAATATATTTTTCTATTAATTTCTTAAATGATTATGTATTTATAACCAAAATAAACGTTATTTATAAAAATGTAACTAATAATAATTTTAGTAATAACATAATCCTAGTAACTTAAGTTCAATCTTTAAACTTAAGTGATCATGACACAATATTGTGGTAATTATTAGTCATATTTACGTAAGTAAGTTTTATTTTAGTAATATTTTTTTATCATTGTATTTTAGTAATATTTAAAAAAAAAACTTTAAATTCTTTTGTAAAATAGAGTGTAAAAGAATACGGAATAAAAAGAAGTGACATAGATATTACTTCCCAATATTCAATATTGGTGTCAAATGGAAGATAATAAAAAGTTATGAATTTTGGTATATTTTTTGTAACAATCAAAGTACAAATAAAAAAATTACAGCACTTAAAAGAAAAGAGGAGATTTTAAATTTGTGTGGGCCCCATCACCATTTATTGTTTGTCTTTGGCCTTCCTTAGTTACGTAAGTTTTCTTTACAAAAGCCGCCACTTGAAGTGGCGGCTCTTGTACTGCCTCCGAAAAACCGCCACTTCAAATGGCGGCTCTCCTTGCATTATTCAAGGAAAAAACTCTGAACCACCACCGCCTAAGCCCCGCCGCGACTTGCAGCCATTCTTTCTGTCGCAATCTAACTTTGCCAATTGTAGCTAGGGGTGGACTGGGTCCAGGCAGGCCGAGCCCACTGGCAATTTTTTTAAAAAAGAATTTCTTAAATGGGTAGTACCGACCGGGCCCGGGGTACTGTTTGGGCCAGGACTGGAGCCAGTCCCGAAGCACACCCGATACAGTTTGGGCTCCAATTTTCTAGTACCAGTACCGTTCGAGCCTTGCTCGGGTCCATTCCTAATTGTAGCATCTAGGACCCCCGCTATCTAGGGCTTCAAATCACAAACACAAATCAAATTTTCTTTTTGGGTGATATTGGACATTGCACCTCATTTAGAAAAATAACTTTGCACCCTATTTCACTTAAAAATCATTTGACTTTGCACCGTATTCAGAAATGTTTCTTCACAAAAAAATGATGACACCTCATCCCTGAGGGCCCCAGAACTTAAAAGATTTGGAAGGATGAAAATTGAGCTTTGATCTCACTCTGATGGAAAGAGAGTGGGGTTCCATCGCAAGTCATTGTTTGGAGTTGAACTCGGGATCTCTCCCTTATGACACCCCCTTCCTACACGTGAGCTACACCCCTAGTAATGTTTCTTCACAAAATGTCATATGATGGAGTGCAAAGTCAAACTTAAAAAATAAGATGTAAGGTCCAATATCACCCAAAAAAAGCTGGGTGCAAAATCAAATTTATGTTCATTATGAAAAGTATAATAATAAGAATAGTTCAATATAATACGAGCGAAAATGACAACAATTTTAGAGTAAACGTTTTCTTGAAAGCTTGCAACAAATATATTGTACATTTTGTATAGTTCTCTCGTTCCACAAAATTGTTCTTACTTTCACTTTATTCTCATTTTTAATACTCCGATCTATATCAATCCGGAAAGCTTTTTTTTTTTTTTTTTCCGGAAACTATTTTGCAGGACGGATAAATAAATTTTCCGCGAAATTTAGGAGATTTAGTAAATTTCAGCCGACTCGCTCCACTTCCGTTTTACAAAACGGCCCCGCTTGTATTTCTCTAAAAAATGTACAAGTATTTTTGAATATATTAAAACAGCACATACCACTGTTCCTGATTTTTCATCTCATTTGTGTTTTTCTTTTTATGTGTTTCAAAATGTCGTTCTCATTTAAAATAGGCTAAAGGGTCAAATAGGTACATGAACTAACCTAAAGTGTTCAATTAGCCCCTTATATAGGAGTTTCTGCCCGGACGTCGCCAATTGGGGCGGTTCCCGGTGGAATTTTTTGATGAATTTTTTTGAGCATCTTCTTCATTAAGTCTAGTGTACCCAGACCAAATTTCAGCTAAAAATTCAACCGGGAAGGCAGTCGAATGATTTTCTGAAAAATTAAACAGCGCAGTACATTTCGGAAAATAATTCGACTGCCTTCCCGGTTGATTTTTTAGCTGAAATTTGGTATGGGTAAACTAGACTTAATGAAGAAGATGCTCAAAAAATTTCATCAAAAAATTCCACCGGGAACCGCCCCAATTGGCGATGTCCGGGCAGAAACTCCTTTATAAGGGGTTAATTGAACACTTTAAGTTAGTTCATGTACCTATTTGACCCTTTAGCCTTTAAAATAAGATTGTGTGGTTTGTATTTGGCTCTCCTTTTTTTTACTAAATCAGAATCACATGTCTATAGTTAGTGAGCGTGTGAAATTAGTGTAAACAAAAAGGAGAAATGGTCAAATAGACCATCGAACTAACTTAAAAAGGTCAAATCACCCCTTATGAAGAAGACTTTGTTCGGCCGACGCCATTTGGGGCAGTTCCCGGTGGAAGTTTTTGGTGAAACTTTTTGAGAATATTCTTTATTAAGTCTAGTTTACTCATACCAAATTTTAGATAAGAACTCAACCCGGAAGGCAGTCAAGTGATTTTTCAAAATGTACTGCATTGTTTAACTGCGTTGTTATCTTCAAAAATTCATTTGACTGCCTTCCCGATTTCATTTTTAGCTGAAATTTGGTATGGGTAACTAGACTTAATGAAGAAGATGCTAAAAAAGTTGCATCAAAAAAGTCCACCGGGAACCGCCCTAAATGGCGTCGGTCGGACAGAGCCTCCTTCATAAGGAGTGATTTGACTTTTTTAAGTTAGTTCGAGGGTCTATTTGACCCTTTTCCCAAACAATAATTTGAAACGCAAAATACTACTCCCTCCGTCTCATTTTACCTGTCTTACTTTCTTTTTTGGGCTGTCCCAAAATAAGTGTCGCATTTTCCTTTTTGGAAAGAAATATGCGGTTCACAACATTTTACTTTACTATACTCAAATCTCAACCACAACTTTTACATTTTCAACCAGTTTATTAAAATTTGAGCCAAAACAAAATGTGACACATAAAATGGGACGAAGGTAGTACTAATCAAGTTTCACGGAATACCCACTAACGAAATTGGTCGAACTTTGTGTTCGTCAAATCCAAGAAGTTGTGAGTACCGATAGAGTTGGGTTTTAAGGTGTGTTTGGAAGTTTAAAAAATGTGGAGGAACGGAAGTTCCTCGCATAGTGCTAATTGATTACAGATAGTTGTTGTCGGTGTTTATCTCTTTGAATTTGTTGTAATGCTGTGAATTCTAGTGATATTAATTTAAACAGTATTTTCTTTAATAAAAATGTGGATGAAATTTCGGAAGGTTTTTGTTACTCTCCAAAATCTTTCATATGCTCAATTGTTAAGTAGTTATCCCAAATTGAAAGATTTTGATAATTTAAATTCAATTCAAAATGATATCAATTAAAACTATTCGAATTTGTCATATCTGAGAAGTAGTTTTAATTATATTTCATTTAAAGACTCCTTTTTCAAATTCATTACTCTCAAATAAGAATTGTTTTTTCACATTCTTCTACATTTCCAACACTTATCTTTAAAGTCTTATCCTAAGTGAGATGATAGACCTGGAAGTGATTACTAAGATGAGATCTTTTTAATTGAATTGACACCTTTTGATTTAATCTATTTAAGTTTGAGCTAAATTGATATGATAAATATTTGATCTTTCTTCTTTATTATCAGCTTCGCACACTTGATGTAGTAACCTGGAGTATGTTATCAAATTATCCAAGCCAAAGAGGAGCTGGCACAGTCGAATTATGGTCTATTCTGGACTGTCTAGTTTAAATAAGTCTTGTCTAATTTGATCTAAAACTGAAAATCATTTTTACTGAAACAAACTCTTAATTGAAAAGAGAATTCTCAATGGAAGTAAAATATTTTAAAGAAAAATTGATTCGATCAATACCGGGTCTCAAGAATTATACGGAGTCCATAAGTAAAAGTCAAGATATATACGGAGTCACGGGTTTCTCTGCCAGGTTTTGTTGCTTCTATTTTGGTTCAATCATTAGTTTAATGGGTTTTAGACAGTGGAAAAGAGACTGTTTTGTAGGAAAAGTTTGAAATGGATACCATCTAAACCATAGGGGTTAGGCTGCATTAATCACGCAATTATTGCTTTACGTAATTGAAAAGGCTAATGTTGTTTAAAGGATGCATTTTTACTTGGAGTACTAATTAGCTTATTATCGTATTGAGAAAAAGTCAAATACTCCATATAAAATAGCACTCACGTTCACTTTTAAATGTTTCAAATGAATCCACCACCTTTCAGTCCCAGATTAGATTAGACTTGAACAGATCAGGTCAGACTTGGACAATTATAAAATTCAAAGACCAAACATTTACCGGATCAGACCAGACGAGACCAGATTAGACCATCAAATTTTAGTCCAAAAGAAAACATCCTTAACCATACCGCAGTAGTTGTCACCCCGTCATGTGACCCGGCCTCCCAGTAACATCGTAGCAACACAATAAAATCATTACAAGTAATAATAACACAATCGTCTCTCACGGTATCACTTTTAATACGTAGTATAAAAGAACGGTTTCTTATATTGATATCGAAAAAACATACGGAGTATAATACAACCTTCATACATTTATTACAGATTCGAATGTAAGCCCTTGAAATAGACATAGAGTCAGTCACCTCATACAAAACAACTTGACTCGCTAGACAATACTATGTATTAAGCTTAAATGACCAGATCGAAACATTGTCTTTCGAAGGCACTCCAAATAACCAAATATTCAAACCAAACCTACCTGAACTAAAATAGAAACAAGTACCACTAAAGAAAAAATACTATTGGAATAAAGTCTTTCCATAAAACACTTTATGGCATGGGGGTGGTCCCGGAGGAGGACGAGTTGCTAGAATATGAGTAAATATTTAAATCATCTTCTTAATTTCCAAA